ACTTACATATCTATGTGAGTGGGGCACACATTATCTGAACTTCTCTGAACCACTCCCTTCCTATAAAAGGGTTAACTACGTTGTGGAAAAACAAGTGCAACGATTACAATTCATCAACCTAATTAATTAGTACTCCGTATTGGTTTCATTCCGTCGTCATGGCTACAACCACACAGGCTCAATTGTGGAATGCAACAATATTGCTCGTAGCTTTGATGGCATCTCTCCACCTCACAGGTTATTAGTTTTAATACTTCGTATTAACTCCAAATAAGTTCAAAGTGGTTTGATTAAGCTCACTCTCTATTTCTTAACTTGTGATTAAATTCCAATTTTTTTAAATACCCTCCCATCAAAATCGAGATTTCCATTAATTTCACTTTTAATATGCTTGAACATCCATATTTGACTGTTATTTTCGAAAGTGTGCGTAAGATAAAACGACCCTTAGTAATTGCCTTTATATTATAAAGTTCAATTATAAAAACATCAATGGTCGAACTTGACGAAGATTGACTTGGAAAAGTCCAATTTGGAGTGTATGCATCCATTTACTTCGTACGACGTATATGGATTACTCAGTGTAAATGAAATATACACTCTTTTCGTTAACATTAAATTAAAGATTATGAATTAAATGTCTTTAGAGATCGGGGCGAAATTTATTCCTCATCAGGTGTGGACATGCGTGCTATACATTTTAAATGATAAAAACCTATTTAAACCACCTTACATATCATTAAACAGGGTAAGGATGTTTTCTTTTGCTGGTCTGGTCTGGTTTGGTAAACGTCTGATCCCTATGTATTTTATAACTACGGAAGTCTGATCTGGTCTGATCTGGTCTGGTCAGGTCTAGGACTGAAAACAGTCCAAAAGAAAACATCATAAGTTCATTATATATTTTCACACTTAGACTTTCAAACCCCCAAAATCATTGTTCAATTCGACCTACTTGGACAGTTTATATTTCAGATTTTATATTTATATACTCTCAAAATGTATAATAAATTAACATTTCATAAGGTATACAGTCTCAAATAAAGCATTGAATATTATTTTCATGTATTAAAGTAATACAACGTACTTCATACGGAGTATGATTTTGGAATAACTAACCGACAAAATTAACAGAGTTTGACTCAATATGACAAATCATAATCTTTGTTCTTGATGCACTAGTTTATCCTTGCGACCTTGCATGTAGCATTCTCTTATCAATAGGCCTTGTTATGATTATTATGAAAGTAAAAATGGAACTAACAGCCGGTAAAGTATATTAATACAAGGGATAGTATCTAAGATTATATCATGACAATTTTCAAAAGTATACACTAAAACGATCCCGTGAAAACTACTTCCATATTATATGAACATTGGACCTTCACTTTTTCAAAATATACTCCCTCCCTTTCTATTTGGTTACACAGTTTGACTTGTCAAGATTTAAGGAAAAAAAGTTATTGAGGGGTAAATTTCACTGTAGACTACACTGTTTGACACTGTTTGAACACTGTTTGACACTGTTTGAACACTGTTTGACACTGTTTTGCACTGTTTAGGTAAAGATTTGTTTACCAAATAAGAAAATAAAGAAGTGTGACATTCATTTTGAAACGTCCAAAGAAAGGAAAGTGTGTCAAACAAATAGAAACGGAGGGAGTATAAAATAGAAGAATGTGATGAAATATGCTTTCATAATAATGGCAATCGTATAGAAATGCACCCGCTAAAGTCTAAACGTTAGAAATTTCTTAAAAATTTACCCCTCAAACAGTGTTGCCAATTTCATAAGCACTTTTTTTGGCAAAACGTTCTTCCTCATTTTTTTTGAAAACAATTTCTTCCTCACTTATTTACTACGTTGTAATTGTGAATATTTTTACAGTGGGCCAGATCGGAGTTTACTACGGAAGAAACGGCGACAACCTGCCATCTCCGGCAGCGGTGGTCAGCTTATACAAGCAATACAACATCCAGAGAATGCGAATTTACGAACCATACCACCCTGTCCTCGACGCCCTCAGAGGCTCCAACATCGAGCTCACCGTCAACGTTCCCAACATCAACGATCTCCAGTACGTCGCCGGCAGCCAGGCCAACGCCAACCAGTGGGTCCAAGACAACGTCCGGAGCTACTTCCCCGCCGTCAACTTCAAACACATCGTCGTCGGCAACGAAATCTCCCCCATCAAAAACAGCCAGTACACCAATTTCGTACTCCCCGCTTTGCAGAACGTACAGAACGCCATTAACGCCGCCGGCCTCTCAGGACAGATCAAAGTCACCACCGCCGTCGACACCGGCGTTCTGGGAAACGCTTATCCTCCCCAGAACGGCGTTTTCCGGGGAGACGTCGTCGGGTACCTGGCCCCGATCATCCGGTTCTTGTCGGATAATGGGTCGCCGTTATTTGTCAGCATATACCCGTATTTCTCCTACGTGGACAACTCCGGCCAGATCAACCTCAATTATGCTCTGCTTCAGCCCAACAGCGGCGTCACCGCCGGCGGGGTGTACTACGATAATCTTTACTATGCGTTTGTCGATGCCATGTATGCGGCGATGGAGAAGGTTCTGAATGGTGCCGGAGCAGCGTCGACTTCGCCGTTATACGGTGCTGTTAAGGCCGGCGGGAAGTATGTTCCGCCGGTGAAGGGAGGAGAGTCCGGTTGGCCGAGCCGCGGCGGCGGAGGGCCGGCGAATTACGACAATGCAAGGATATACAACAACAATTTGGTTCAGGTCGTGAAGAAGGGAACGCCCAAAAGACCAAATCAACAAATTGAGACTTACATATTTGCTATGTTTGATGAAGATCAGAAGCAGCCTGCTGGGGTGGAGAACAATTTCGGTCTTTTTACTCCAAACGCCCAACTCAAATACCCAATGAATTTTAACTGAATTGCAAGAGACTTAAAAACTAATAATGCACTACAAAAAATTACTGGATCGACATCAATTTGACACAGATTGATCAATGAATTCATGCCAAATGGCTCGTTCCAACATGTTTTGAACATGGATTTGTCATAAATTTTAGAGAATCTCTGTCAAAAATTTATGTCAATCTCGGTTTTTTGTAATGATCTTTACGTCAATAAAACAAAAACTGTTGTATCCCTTACTTGGAATAGCTAGTAATTAAGGAGTGTTTAATCAAAATGATTATTGTAAGCTCCAGTTATAAGGTGTTATTGGGTGTACCTCTTATGTGATGGGTTAATAAAATCGCAATTGGTTCCATCTAAAAGCTACTCCGTATATAAAGATTTGTACAAATATAGTTTGTTGTTTCGTAATTATTATTGGATTTGAATTATGTGCGTTTGTTGTGATTGTTACCCAAGAGTAATATTTCGCTACATACTACCTATCTCACATCTGATCCATAAAAATGCTCTTCCTAGGCTCCTAGCTTTCCTTTGCACAACTAAGAATGACTTCAATTCCACTAAAATGATTCTCGTCTAGTCAAGTTTAAGTTGTTCTGCTTTAATTTGGTGGTATGTTCAAGAATAATCTAATTTGAATTAGTCAGAGTTTCTCACTTCGTTCCAAAAGGTTTTCACTTTCATATATTTTATATTATTATAAATATTTTGAAATGAAGTTTTCTTTTACGTAAAAAGAGATTATTACAGATAAAAAAAAATGAAGTTTTCATTTATCTAAAAAGAGACTCTTTAATGTAAGAAGTTGTAACTATTATTACCTTTTACTCACTTTTTTGCTTTTCTAACATAAAATAAAGATAAACTTGAAAAGTCAAAACAAAAGTTCGTTTTACAAAGTATTAGTAATTTGAATCAGAAACTTACTTTCAGAGAAGTATATAACAGAATATTACTGCGTAGTATAAGTTAAGTGCTGTTTGATTTAATTAGTACTGAAATAAGTCCAATAGTTTATATAAGATGGATATGATCTATAATTATACTACTATACGGAGTATTACATGAAGTGTAAACGTACTATTTACAATATTCAAGAAATATATTCCGTATAATGTGTTTGTGTTAAAACACTTACCGGGAAGTATAATTTTTTGATTTGCATCGCAACATATTTTTTATTTTAAAACTTAGGTTAAGTTCAATAATTTGAATATAAAAAAGAGTCAAACACGGTAATTTATGAAGCTACAAAATTACTCCGTAGTACGGAGTATTATCTCTATCCTTATTCTATTTTTGGTGACAACTCCGGTACCCTTCTAAAAAATGGGGTACCGTATCTATCATTCATTTGATTGGACCACATGACTTTATTATTTTTAATTTAGATTTAAATAATTCAACTGCTACATTTCCATTGGTCCATATGGACAAAAGTATGGTACCTTATGGGTACCATAGAATCTACCTCTATTTTTTTGATACATAAGTATCGTACCCCGGTACCCGTGTGATGTACAGGTGTGCAATGCACATAATATAAATATATTTGCATGGGACATATATACATGCACATATTTATTTGAAGAGAAAATTACTTGTATAAGACTAAAATATAAATAATGTGCATATATAGAACTATCATTACTTTCGTTTTAAAATATTACTTATTCATTCCAATAGGGAAACTTTATACTTTTAATATAATAGGATCAAATAAGTCTTATACAAGGAATAAAATACATGTAGTCTTATTTGTGCATTTTATCCTTGTTTTAATTTAAAGAAATTGTCCTAAATAGGATCAAAACATAGTTAAAATTCCAAAATAGGAGTTAATGTTTTATTTACCCTAAATAGGACTAAACATTACCATTATGCCCTCAATATAGTTAAAATTAAATCACAATTCATCACCGGCTATTGAAGTCTGAAGAGTAGCGATCGAGCTCTCCCATATGAGTTCTTCGCTATTTTTTCCTCCATCACCGTCGATATCTTCTCACCCGCCACCTCGCCTCGCCAGCCCCGCCGCCTCGCTGTTTTAGCAATTTTATGATAAGCTAAAACTAATTAAAATGGAAATTGTATATTGATTGGCTGGTTTCATACAAGAACGGTAAGGAAAATGACAAGAACAACAAGAAAGATGCCAAGTAAGCAAAATAGAGTGAAAATTAGAGTATCATTCGAATGAGTGGCCTGTGAATACAATGGAGCTGGGTTCTATTTATAAGAGACATTTTGTCACGCCCCAGACCGCGTCTGTGCCACGTGGACAACCGTCGTACAATCCAATAAGAATAACCGCAGTTCATCCTTACCGAATTGCACAAGACGTCCGATAGATACATATGCCAAAACCGATTAGTAAACATACATAACAACATCAACATACAATCAAACACATAGCGGAATATAAGTGTTTAATAAGAACCCACACAAGGGTAAAACAAGAGCTCGCAGGCTCCATTAATTTATAAGTCAAAATAGTTCCATGAGCATTATTTAATTATTTAGAAATAGAACCGGAGGAAGCACGAACCACGTCTTCTCTCCATCGATCTCCCGAGCAACGGGTGCAGGAAGTAAGCTCTAGCTTCAACCTGAAAGGGTGGTTCCCCCGAGGGATCAGTACTACAGAAAAGTACTGGTGAGGGCAAACTGTATGTAATGTAACTAACGTTTCTCACGCGAGACCCTCAAAATAGGGTGATAGTATAATTATGGGCATAACTCTTAGCTACCCCTTTTCAAAACAAAATGTATACATATATACATATGAGTAAAATATCTGGCCCGTGGGCCCATTTGTCTTTCAAATCATTTAGGGGTAACAGCCTCATTAAATTCATCCTCCCCATGCCTTACCCTCGAGTGGAGTCACCCGCAGGCTAGCTCACTCGATACTAAAATATAATTACTGTGGGGCCCTTCGGACTCCCATATCCCAGACATGGTTTAAATCAATCCCTAGACCAAGGAAAATATTCTATCGGAAACTCGTTCCCGATCAAGCACGTTTAATCATTTAAAATCATTACCTTGAGGTTCACCTACCTCGAGGACTATCCGTCCTTACTATCATAGTTTACATTCCCGGGGCTAACCCCGCCTTGAGGAGTACACATACACCCTCATCCTATGTGTAATTTGCTGGAGGTTAACACACCTCAAGGACTACACGGGCCCTTGTTACCTATATGCACTTTGATGGAGGTTAACACACCTCAAGGACTGCATTTGCCCTTGTTAACTATATGCAATTTGATGGAGGTTAAACACACCTCAAGGACTGCACTTGCCCTTGTTACCTATATGCAATTTGATGGAGGTTAAACACACCTCAAGGACTGCATTTGCCCTTGTTACCTATATGCAATTTGATGGAGGTTAAACACACCTCAAGGACTGCATTTGCCCTTGTTAACGTTTGAGTGTAGAGGACTCCTCCTGGTCCTACAGAGTATTATATAACCTTACTTGGTCCTGGGTATTCACCCGCCATTTATAATCTACCACGTGCCTCGCCCGGTCGTGGTCTATAATTTCTTTACTAACGACTAGTCCAAGTCTTAGCGTTTAAATCGTATTCCAAGCCTTATCATTTTAAACATCATATTTCATGCAATCCCATGCAAAATATTCATATATAGGATGACCAGAATTAATCCCACGTCGAACCGGGTCCGATTTGGGTTTTTAGCAAAAATCAGTCCTGAAAGCCGAGACATAACCGGCGCCGGTTTTACCCATAACCGGCGCCGGTTTACTGATTTTCTTGAGTAAACCGAACCATAACCGGCGCCGGTTTTGCCTATAACCGGCGCCGGTTACCCCCTGGGCAACCGGTCAACATTTTGGTCAACGCCCGTTTGACCATCCAAACGGGGTCCGATTTCCACGAAATTTTATACGCTTATGCAACAAGTCATTCTTAGTCCAAAAATATTACTTTGGACGTCCAAATCATCACACATAATTTATAATCATTTTCTGTCCAAATTAAAGCATATTAAATACACTTATTAATACTATTAATAAGTAAATCTTTCCTTAATACATTCTTAGATGTATTTAACATTTCATGGAATATCATTCTGTTTTATTTGAGTAATCTCATGCCCAAGCCCAAATCATGGCTCATGATCCTTTCTTACAACCTTTTATTCATACCATTAATTGATTAATCATTAATTATGCCATATTTCCATAATCCATAATTTATATGACTACTCACATATCACATATCTTTTTATATTCCTTTACTAGATAACTCTAGTTAATCACATACACGGTTCAAGTATACCTTCTTATTCATTTAAGAAAAATATACTCATGATTAATTAATAAATTAATCTATTTTTTTATTTATCATATAACACTTCCATAATCCATATTTAATATGGATAATCACAACTTTACAACCCTTTTATATTCACTTACTAGATTATTCGAGCTTATCTCATACATGGTTCAAGTATATCCTCTTATGCATTAAGAAATATATACTACGTACTAATGATTAATTAATAAATTAATCTATTTTTTTTCATTAGTCATATACACCATGACTAATCATGCATTTTAATCCATTTCATCATTTCTCAAATCATGGTTATGATTTTATTTAGGTAATCCCACGTTTGAACCAAGAGTTACAAGACACGTAGTCGTCCACTCACCTTGAAATGACGCTAGCAAGCTTTTATCTTCTTTGTTCGAACTCCGGCGACTTTTGAATTTTCCGGCGAAAACTCCGGCGGCTCCGGCGACTTTTCCGTCCACTCCTAGATTCCTCGAGAAGTCTATAATATCTTGGTAAAAGACCTAACAAGGTTTCATAAACCAAAAGTGGTATAAACATCAAAACCTTCCGAGAAGGTGTTTTCCGGTGAACCGGTCTTACTCCGGTCATAACTCCGTTCATGGTTATTAGCCAACCCTTTGGATGATTAAATTACTATATTAAGGTCTTATACTACACTTATAATCGTGTAGGATATCCACTTTATTCGTTAATAGGGTTTATAAACAATTTTGGGTAATAACTAGAAACCAAATACAAACTGTTTTGAGAATCCAGATTTATACCTCGTGTGTTTATCTTCCCTTTTTGAGCTGTAAACACCTCGTATCCTTAAGTGCAGCACCTCGTATGAAAGCTCTCTTCAAGACCTATCTAATGACACCTTACTCGAGCTTATTGGATAAGAGATGCGTGAGATATGAAGTGAACAATCTCGAGGGTTGAAATTGTACGAACTGGTTGGCAGCCTCCTCTCTTCTTGCTTCCTTCTTTCCCCTTGTTCTTAGCTCGAGTAGAGCTGGTGGAGATGATGTTTTTGAGACTCCTTTCCTCCCTACTTGATGCTAGGGCCGAAATAATAGGAGGGTGGGTGAGTGAGATGTCCTTGTTGTCTCTCATGTGTGAATGGTGTGGGGGAGAAGTTCATTTGATGACTTGATTAATCCCCCCATCATCTCAATTCATTTCCAGCTCTCCAACATGGTCCTCCTCACTTATTTGAGACCATAAGTCGTGGGGTGGCCCCCACCCATGTGGGAGGTCATCCCTTTATGTCCCAAAGTGTACAATTGGTCCCGAAAGTTGTATTTTCTGGACTGTTTTAATTATATTTTATTTTATCGGGTTAAGTAAAATATATATCATTCTTCCAATTAATATTGGACTCTAAAATGAATATATATTACCCAACTTCAATTTAATGGTCCCCGGAATTTATTTCGGGCTGTTATCTGATTAACTAACTATACCGATAATGGGACCTTGTTTGATCGAAAGGCCAACTTTATGGCTCAACATTAATTTACACCATCATATAAATAGTATCTAGACCGAGATGAATATATTATGTGGTCCTCAAATATCGGATGGTCGCCGCCCACGTGTGGGCCCAACGTGTATTTTACTGTTGAAGTAACAGTAAAAATGAGAACGCGTTGCCTCGAAAATTCACTCGTCATTTCTCATTACATAATATGTGGTTTCATATTTGGTGACACTTTAATAAAATGTTACACTTATTTTTAAGTGGCCCGAACTGTATGAACAGATAACATCTTATCTGTTTATTCTTATACGAAAATATCTTCAAGGTAGGGTCCTCCAAAAGCACCCACCTCTAATATGTCAATTTAATCAATATTATTCATCCCATTATTTTGGTTTCTTAGCATGTTTATATTTCTTCTGTTATAAATTCGTAGTCCTACGAATTATTGACAGTCCGATAATTAAGGACTCCTCACTATCGAATAGTGGCCCTGGCCCGCTCGGCCGTCCAGTTGTCGATCTTTATAACAATGGGGTCCACGACCCATTCCTACTATCATAATAGTATCGTTTTGGAAAATAGTAATATTTTATAAACTTGAAATACCACGTGTGGTCCCACGTTTAAATTAATAACCCTTTATTAATTTAAGACAAAAATTTTTTTACTTTCTCATTTATCAAGACTACTCTTAGTCTTGATTTACCTTCTTTAACCAAGTACTTTATGAAAAAAAATTTTATCTGGGTAAAATTCGGGTCCGGTGTTACAAGTTCACCCCCCCTTACAGGAATTTCGTCCCCGAAATTAGCGTCTCAACCTTGAGAAACGCTTCTCCCTTCATTTTCTGAAGCTAAAAAATTTGAACATAAAAATATTTATGGAAATTAAGGTTTAATTTAATAATACCTTATGCCATGGTCGGGCCTAACAAATGGCTTCCGCCATTCTCGGCCTTTACGAGCGAGTTCGCCATTGACTTTTAGAAGGTACCATGTTTGAGGCAACCCTAGTTGGGTTTTCAACCCCCGTGACCCCTTCTCTAGCTCCTGATGTTCCTTCACGCGTACGTTGAGGACAAAGAACCTTGATGTGGCCTGTTTCTCCACAAAAGTAACATCTAGATGGCTCTCGACATCTCCCGTAGTGCCTTCGCCTACAATTCTCACATTTGGGTGCCCCCGTGCCCCGAGTGCTTGAGCTTTGACTTACCAAGTTTTGACTCTCACTGAAAAACGGAACTAACTTGTTAGAGTCCCCCTTGCTCTGAAGTTCATATTTTCCCTCTCGTCGTGGAGGGTGAATCATCACTTGATCTCTTTCTTGTGCTTCCTTTGCATCCCTTTCTTGCCTTTCCTTCCAAAGCTCCTCCCCCTGAAGACCTTGGGCCACTACTTGACTAAAAGTCATGTTGAATTGGTAGGTCGCTCTTTCGCGTATTTCCAAATTGAGTGCATTCCAAAAATGGTTTGCCATTCGGTTCTCATTTGCGGCATACTCAGGCAAGAACCTTGCCAGATGTCGGAATCTTTGTTCCAGTTGCTTCACCGTAAACTCATTTCCCTGTTTGAGATCGATATATTCCCTCCTCTTTCGATTTACTTCGAAAGAGGTGTAAAACTGCTCATAAAATGCTTGCTCGAAGTTGTCCCACGTGACAACCCCGTCAAACTTACCCTTGGTGCCCTCCCACCAAGTAGAAGCTAAACCCTCCAATAATCTAGTGGCTACCCTTAACTTTCGTTCAGGGACCACCTGCATGTCATCAGCTGCATCATTTAACCTTTTTATCCACTCGGCTGCTTCCGATATGTCCCCCGTCCCATCAAACGGTTTGCACCCCAAGGCCCTAGCCTCTTTGAGGTACTTTGAGATCTTAATGAATGGTCCTTCACCATCAGAATCTCTAATTGTCTTAACCTGTACTCTATGAGCACCCCGACCCCTCCTGCGAGAGGTGTCGTCTCTGACATGTCCCACCTGGGATCTCTGTCGTTGCCTTTCCCTTTCCCGCTGGTACCATCGGTACATCTCACTAATCTGATCAGGAGGAATTCTGTGCATATCCTCTCCATCGTTTCCTTCAAAAGAAGTTTCTTCAGACTCACTTTCAGGCTGATAAGTTGAGTCATCCTCCGAGTTCCACGACTCGAATTCAGTCACATTGTGATCAGCCATCGCAGCTCGTGTTTGTGGGCCTTGGTTGCCCATACCTCGCCTTTTACGCGACCTTGATATCCCCCGATTGGCTTGCCCGGCTATCCCCGGTCCGCGCCCTCTCGGATTTCCTCGAACCGCCCTATCACTACCACCCATTCCTGAAAGAATATGTTGGAATGAGTCTTTGGACTCGTTTGAATGTCAATTGACAGAAACGTACTCAAGACACCACTTGGCTCAAGTCACTGCCATACCAATTGTTAAGGGGCCCATCTTAACAACCAGAGACCTTGCAACTCGATAACCAAATGCTCTTAAAGTACAAAACTTATGCTCATGGTTTTTCATTGAAAACTGTTTTGATAGAAACTCTGTTGAGAGGTTGACTATATAGTTTAGAAATCGTTTGGCTCTGATACCACTTAATTGTCACGCCCCAGACCGCGTCTGTGCCACGTGGACAACCGTCGTACAATCCAATAAGAATAACCGCAGTTCATCCTTACCGAATTGCACAAGACGTCCGATAGATACATATGCCAAAACCGATTAGTAAACATACATAACAACATCAACATACAATCAAACACATAGCGGAATATAAGTGTTTAATAAGAACTCACACAAGGGTAAAACAAGAGCTCGCAGGCTCCATTAATTTATAAGTCAAAATAGTTCCATGAGCATTATTTAATTATTTAGAAATAGAACCGGAGGAAGCACGAACCACGTCTTCTCTCCATCGATCTCCCGAGCAACGGGTGCAGGAAGTAAGCTCTAGCTTCAACCTGAAAGGGTGGTTCCCCCGAGGGATCAGTACTACAGAAAAGTACTGGTGAGGGCAAACTGTATGTAATGTAACTAACGTTTCTCACGCGAGACCCTCAAAATAGGGTGATAGTATAATTATGGGCATAACTCTTAGCTACCCCTTTTCAAAACAAAATGTATACATATATACATATGAGTAAAATATCTGGCCCGTGGGCCCATTTGTCTTTCAAATCATTTAGGCGTAACAGCCTCATTAAATTCATCCTCCCCATGCCTTACCCTCGAGTGGAGTCACCCGCAGGCTAGCTCACTCGATACTAAAATATAATTACTGTGGGGCCCTTCGGACTCCCATATCCCAGACATGGTTTAAATCAATCCCTAGACCAAGGAAAATATTCTATCGGAAACTCGTTCCCGATCAAGCACGTTTAATCATTTAAAATCATTACCTTGAGGTTCACCTACCTCGAGGACTATCCGTCCTTACTATCATAGTTTACATTCCCGGGGCTAACCCCGCCTTGAGGAGTACACATACACCCTCATCCTATGTGTAATTTGCTGGAGGTTAACACACCTCAAGGACTACACGGGCCCTTGTTACCTATATGCACTTTGATGGAGGTTAACACACCTCAAGGACTGCATTTGCCCTTGTTAACTATATGCAATTTGATGGAGGTTAAACACACCTCAAGGACTGCACTTGCCCTTGTTACCTATATGCAATTTGATGGAGGTTAAACACACCTCAAGGACTGCATTTGCCCTTGTTACCTATATGCAATTTGATGGAGGTTAAACACACCTCAAGGACTGCATTTGCCCTTGTTAACGTTTGAGTGTAGAGGACTCCTCCTGGTCCTACAGAGTATTATATAACCTTACTTGGTCCTGGGTATTCACCCGCCATTTATAATCTACCACGTGCCTCGCCCGGTCGTGGTCTATAATTTCTTTACTAACGACTAGTCCAAGTCTTAGCGTTTAAATCGTATTCCAAGCCTTATCATTTTAAACATCATATTTCATGCAATCCCATGCAAAATATTCATATATAGGATGACCAGAATTAATCCCACGTCGAACCGGGTCCGATTTGGGTTTTTAGCAAAAATCAGTCCTGAAAGCCGAGACATAACCGGCGCCGGTTTTACCCATAACCGGCGCCGGTTTACTGATTTTCTTGAGTAAACCGAACCATAACCGGCGCCGGTTTTGCCTATAACCGGCGCCGGTTACCCCCTGGGCAACCGGTCAACATTTTGGTCAACGCCCGTTTGACCATCCAAACGGGGTCCGATTTCCACGAAATTTTATACGCTTATGCAACAAGTCATTCTTAGTCCAAAAATATTACTTTGGACGTCCAAATCATCACACATAATTTATAATCATTTTCTGTCCAAATTAAAGCATATTAAATACACTTATTAATACTATTAATAAGTAAATCTTTCCTTAATACATTCTTAGATGTATTTAACATTTCATGGAATATCATTCTGTTTTATTTGAGTAATCTCATGCCCAAGCCCAAATCATGGCTCATGATCCTTTCTTACAACCTTTTATTCATACCATTAATTGATTAATCATTAATTATGCCATATTTCCATAATCCATAATTTATATGACTACTCACATATCACATATCTTTTTATATTCCTTTACTAGATAACTCTAGTTAATCACATACACGGTTCAAGTATACCTTCTTATTCATTTAAGAAAAATATACTCATGATTAATTAATAAATTAATCTATTTTTTTATTTATCATATAACACTTCCATAATCCATATTTAATATGGATAATCACAACTTTACAACCCTTTTATATTCACTTACTAGATTATTCGAGCTTATCTCATACATGGTTCAAGTATATCCTCTTATGCATTAAGAAATATATACTACGTACTAATGATTAATTAATAAATTAATCTATTTTTTTTCATTAGTCATATACACCATGACTAATCATGCATTTTAATCCATTTCATCATTTCTCAAATCATGGTTATGATTTTATTTAGGTAATCCCACGTTTGAACCAAGAGTTACAAGACACGTAGTCGTCCACTCACCTTGAAATGACGCTAGCAAGCTTTTATCTTCTTTGTTCGAACTCCGGCGACTTTTGAATTTTCCGGCGAAAACTCCGGCGGCTCCGGCGACTTTTCCGGCCACTCCTAGATTCCTCGAGAAGTCTATAATATCTTGGTAAAAGACCTAACAAGGTTTCATAAACCAAAAGTGGTATAAACATCAAAACCTTCCGAGAAGGTGTTTTCCGGTGAACCGGTCTTACTCCGGTCATAACTCCGTTCATGGTTATTAGCCAACCCTTTGGATGATTAAATTACTATATTAAGGTCTTATACTACACTTATAATCGTGTAGGATATCCACTTTATTCGTTAATAGGGTTTATAAACAATTTTGGGTAATAACTAGAAACCAAATACAAACTGTTTTGAGAATCCAGATTTATACCTCGTGTGTTTATCTTCCCTTTTTGAGCTGTAAACACCTCGTATCCTTAAGTGCAGCACCTCGTATGAAAGCTCTCTTCAAGACCTATCTAATGACACCTTACTCGAGCTTATTGGATAAGAGATGCGTGAGATATGAAGTGAACAATCTCGAGGGTTGAAATTGTACGAACTGGTTGGCAGCCTCCTCTCTTCTTGCTTCCTTCTTTCCCCTTGTTCTTAGCTCGAGTAGAGCTGGTGGAGATGATGTTTTTGAGACTCCTTTCCTCCCTACTTGATGCTAGGGCCGAAATAATAGGAGGGTGGGTGAGTGAGATGTCCTTGTTGTCTCTCATGTGTGAATGGTGTGGGGGAGAAGTTCATTTGATGACTTGATTAATCCCCCCATCATCTCAATTCATTTCCAGCTCTCCAACATGGTCCTCCTCACTTATTTGAGACCATAAGTCGTGGGGTGGCCCCCACCCATGTGGGAGGTCATCCCTTTATGTCCCAAAGTGTACAATTGGTCCCGAAAGTTGTATTTTCTGGACTGTTTTAATTATATTTTATTTTATCGGGTTAAGTAAAATATATATCATTCTTCCAATTAATATTGGACTCTAAAATGAATATATATTACCCAACTTCAATTTAATGGTCCCCGGAATTTATTTCGGGCTGTTATCTGATTAACTAACTATACCGATAATGGGACCTTGTTTGATCGAAAGGCCAACTTTATGGCTCAACATTAATTTACACCATCATATAAATAGTATCTAGACCGAGATGAATATATTATGTGGTCCTCAAATATCGGATGGTCGCCGCCCACGTGTGGGCCCAACGTGTATTTTACTGTTGAAGTAACAGTAAAAATGAGAACGCGTTGCCTCGAAAATTCACTCGTCATTTCTCATTACATAATATGTGGTTTCATATTTGGTGACACTTTAATAAAATGTTACACTTATTTTTAAGTGGCCCGAACTGTATGAACAGATAACATCTTATCTGTTTATTCTTATACGAAAATATCTTCAAGGTAGGGTCCTCCAAAAGCACCCACCTCTAATATGTCAATTTAATCAATATTATTCATCCCATTATTTTGGTTTCTTAGCATGTTTATATTTCTTCTGTTATAAATTCGTAGTCCTACGAATTATTGACAGTCCGATAATTAAGGACTCCTCACTATCGAATAGTGGCCCTGGCCCGCTCGGCCGTCCAGTTGTCGATCTTTATAACAATGGGGTCCACGACCCATTCCTACTATCATAATAGTATCGTTTTGGAAAATAGTAATATTTTATAAACTTGAAATACCACGTGTGGTCCCACGTTTAAATTAATAACCCTTTATTAATTTAAGACAAAAATTTTTTTACTTTCTCATTTATCAAGACTACTCTTAGTCTTGATTTACCTTCTTTAACCAAGTACTTTATGAAAAAAAATTTTATCTGGGTAAAATTCGGGTCCGGTGTTACACATTTAATCTCCTTTTGCCCGTTATTGACGATTTTGACCGTTACGCCGACATCAAAGTCGTCATCATCATGTCATCATAAGTTCCGGTCAGCCATTTGAGTAACCTACGCCTTAATTACAGTTATAACTCTCATAATACACATAAAACCGCTAGAATTAATCAGCTAGCATTAATCCTAATAAATGCGTCATTAATTGTCACGATCAAGCCTTTTTGAATGTAGTCCAAGTTGTCAAATTCTTGTACCAACAATTGCCCCCTTTTCGAGAAGTTGAGGCGAATGATGCACATGTCGATATATTCAGCAACAACTTGTCGAAAATTTGAAAGTACACTTCGCATCTTGGTTCATTGCGTTGTGGCATGTTGATCAATTTGTCTGACTGAATGCTTCCGTATTTCTTTCGAGTAACCTCCGATCGGATGCGTCTCCTTGACTGAAACAATGAAGTCTGAAAGCTAGAATTTCGTCATTTTTCCTCCAAAATTGTGCTGAAGATTAGTTGACAGAAATTTGCAACGGTTTCGAGACATTTACTGAAGGCTTTTCTTGAAATCTCTCATCATGTCGATGTCGACACTTCAACTGGCAAAAGGAATATCATCCGTTGTTAAAGATGACGAGTTGGGTTGCATGAACATAGTCCATAACCTGCCAAAACTTTGAATAACGCTTTGTTTGTAATTTTAGCACTATTGTCGACAATAGTTAGTTCAACTTTGTATTTTATTATTTAGTTTATTATTCTAATTTATGTCCATATTAACTTAAAGGAAAATGGGGTGTTGATTCTTATTGTTCTTGTTGTTGTCATATAATTATGCTACTTTGTTTCATTTTATTTTAGTATCATCTTTATCATCATCGTTATTAATTTTACTTATACTAATATGTTATTATTTAATTACTACTTTAATTCTAATTTATATGTAGTTTATAAATTTATATTTTTTATATTTAGGACTAAAATTATATTTTGTTGAAGTTTAGGAAAGTATGGCGTTCTTCAATATAGTTATTTACTACTAATTTAAATATTTAAAATAGCCCTATGAAAATTATATTAAACGATAACATATCAAAATGACTTTTCACGTTTTAACTCCGCTTTTACCCACCTTGGTTTCAAAGGCTTAAGACTTTATTATGCCGTCGTGGCATGTTTTACGCCTTTTAGAACATTGTCCTCAACCCAAAATCACTACAAAACTTGTTTTTTTGTAGTGAAATACTAATAATAATATAATTTTTTTCAAGAAATTAACACTCTTTATCACGAGTTAATTATCTTGAACTGTAATTGTCAATGTAGAATACGATTGAGAGCAAATTTAACAAATACGGAGTATATGAAATTATCCCAATTTTCGACCCAATATACTTTATTAGCAGTCCTAACGCTACAATTGGTGCAACTAGAGGAGGACATGGTCCTGCTATCGATACTAGCCAATTTTAGAAATGAATTGAGACAAGAAAATAAAATTATGATATGAGATTGATACTAGCTAGCCGGGTCCCGGACAGGCCGGTTCAGCGATGGTTCCTATCTCAATATACTTCTAAGAGAAAACTGTCAAATAAGCCCTTGTACTATACCGGAAAAGTCAATTAAGCCCTTGTACTTTAAAAACACCCAATTGAATCCCTGTACTCCTAAAAAATGCTCAATTGAGCCCTTTTAGCAGGTTAAGAGCCGGTTTCCAGGTAAATTGCTTGCGTGGCAGCCTGCGTGTACAGTTCTTCTTCTTTCTTTTATTTTTTTCTCTTTTCTTTTTCATTTTCTTTGCTTTCTTCTTTCAAGCACAGACGGCGAAGGTCTCTTTCCCTTCCCGTCACTACACCTTCCTCTTATTCTCATTTTTGTTTCATAAGGTCAGGTTGAAAACTCAGTTGAAATCTTATTTTAGTTGACCTTGGTTAAAAATCAGATCTAGACTCGTTTCCTTCTTCTGCTTTGCATACATCTTTCTTTCTCTGTTTTTATTTTTATATATTTCTTTGTGAGTTTGTTTCTCTTCCCAATTGAATTTCTATTTTCTGCAGCTCCTTGGGACTCCAGTTAATTCCTCATGAGAAGAGGCGACCAGCGGCGAAGCAACTGACAGTGAGGCGATGAAAAGATGACGAAGAGTGAACGGAAGCGAGATAAATAGACGATGTCCAACATAGGAGAGTTAGTGACGCTGGCTTGGTGGTGAGACGACTGACCTGGAGCCTCAAGGTCTACCCCTGAAGAACGGCCGACGAGGTTATAGATGACGTCCACACAACATGTGCCTCCTTCATGCACACAAAACCACCACAGGGAGAAAGACAATAGCTTTATGTATAACTTGCAGCAGAGAAAAATTGCAGTAAGATGCAAAGAAGGAATGAAATTGAAGGCCTCTTGAGTGGGGAAACCATGATTATATATTTTGGCAATAAAGAAAAATTAACAGAGGAAGAATTAGGAAGTGGTCTTAAATGGCTAATGTAGAGTAATCTCTCACATCAGATGGAGTAGCTAGCGGCGCCGGCTTGGGGCGAGTTGACTGACCTGGAGATTGAGAGTACCGCTCCAATGAAGGCTGAAGCTTGGAAGTGATGCAATGAAGACAGAAAGGTTGACCAAACGCGAAGAAGACCGAAAAGAAATAAATAAAAGAAAGACAAATACAAAGGGAAGAACAAAATAAATGCCACGCGGACCGCCACGTATGCAGGCAACCGGGAGACCCGTTGTTAACCTGCTAAAAGGGCTCAATTGAGCATTTTTAGGAGTACAAGGATTCAATTGGGTGTTTTTAAAGTACAAGGGCTTAATTGACTTTTTCAGTATAGTACGAGGACTTATTTGACAGTTTTCCCTACTTCTAATTATTTTTGTATATTATCCCATGAGAACAATTTTAAAAATCCGAAAAAAGTGAGGCTGGAGGGGTTTTAAAATATATACATAGTTTTTTTTATCGTCACACATAGTACATAACTACTCCCTCCGTCCCGTTGGAATGTTCCCGTTCACTATTCATTGGTCAACTTAGGTCACTTCTAATCTTTTACTTTATATATCAAATTGAACTTGTGAAAATAATGGAAAGACATACCTAATGAGGTACCTCTGAGTACATTAGGAAACAAATAAATATGGAAACCTAATTAAAGTATTAATTACACAATTACACCCCCTCAAGCTGTGCAGGAGAAACAATGCGCAGATTGTCCCTAAGTAAAATAAAACGCTGCGGAGATAAACCCTTTGTCAAAATATCTGCTAGCTGAAACTGAGTAGGAACATAACGAACAACGAGATCACCATGGGAGACTCGTTCACGTACAAAATGATAATCAATGCTGATATGCTTACTCCGGGCATGCTGAATAGGATTAGCTGACAAATAAGAAGCCGAAATATTATCACACATAAGTGTGACTGGTGCACGAACAGGAAACCCCAATTCAAATAAGATGGAGCGTATATGTAGAGTATCCTGAACTGTGTATGCAATTGCCCTATATTCAGCTTCTGTGGAAGAACGAGAGACAGTTGGCTGCTTCTTAGCCTTCCAAGAAACCAAATTAGGACCCAGAAAAATAGCAAAACCAGAGGTGGACCGACTGCTATCAGGACAACCAGCCCAATCAGCATCGGAGTAAGCCTGTATGGTAGGAGTAGTGTAGTGCTCGGCCGAAGCAGTAATCCATCGAGATAGACCCCTGAAGATACCTGAAAATACGCTTAACAACCAAAAGATGAGGTGTACGGGGCGCATGCATAAATTGGGAAACCAAGTGAACAGCAAATGTAATATCAGGTCGAGTCATAGTCAAATACTGTAAAGCACCTACCATACTTCTCTACCC